ACCCCCCCCCCCCCCCCCCCCACACACACACAAATGCATGGGTAAATCTGTTTAGGTACTTACAGTTCACATAGTGTGCATGCCCATCTTGTTTGAGCTGAATAGTTAGGCGTCTAATGTGTACCTAAAGATATTTGAGATTCCTAAACTAGATGCCCTGCATCGGAGTCCAAATAGGACCCCAGTCTGGTAGGTGTGCTTAGAGCACGCCTACTATCAGCTGCCACCATTTAGTTCAGCAGCCACTATCACTTCTGGATTGGGAACAGAGACCATAGCGCAGAACTTCCCTACTGCTTAATCCATAGTGACTGCCCTTATTCCTGGGCTACAGAACCAGCCTCTCTCATTTATATTCTCTTTTTGGCTCCATGAATTGTGCATGTGTGGCTGAATGGTGGCCCAGCTGCAACAGGAGAGATGGAGAATATCTTCAGGCCAGACTAGCACTCTTCTGGGATGTGGGAGATGTGGGTTTGAACGCCTTCAGGCTGAGCAGGGGCCTAGGATCCAGGTCTAAAGCCTGTCATTGGGCTGTGTGATACAGCTTTAAAAGTCTGGCTGTATGTGATGGGGTCTGAGAGATTTATGCCAAAAATCATGCATGCTTTCATACAGGTCCAGGATAAAATTAGATCTTATTGATGTGACTAAATTAACTTCTCCTGGCAGCCTTAAGCTATCAAGTATAGTTGGGGATTTGGGGTTGTGAATCTGTTTCACATATGTACTTAATTGTAGCCCAAGTCCAGGGGAGAGGCATGATTTCAAAGCCCCCCCCCCCCCCCATCATGCCTTCCTATTGGATGGTTTAAGAGTACTCCCCCATCTCCTTGTATTAAGAGTGCCTCTCTCTCCCAGTTTAAAATATGTGGCATGTAGGTGCCTAATTCAGGTTTGCAAATTTCATTTGTAGAATTAGGTGCCTAATTCTGAGGTGTGGGAACACTGACTGCTGCTGTGCCTAAGTCCCTTTCTGAATCTTACTTGGGACCTTGACATTTTGTACATCTTTGCCTCTTTTTGAGAAGATTCGGTTAAGTTAACTTCCACTTGCCTAATCTGTCTGTCCTAATGATATACCATTCTTCCCTGATCCCGTAGACAATGTTGAGGTCTGTCCCTAGTGCTCCCTTGTGGTGCTGTTCTTACCATTTTCATTAGGCAGCAGTCTGTTCCCAACTCACTTTGGAATATGTAGTCATGGTCAGAGATGGGAATAGAATGCATGTGGGATCCTGGGAGCAGCTCCTCCAGGCTAGCCAAAAAATAGGGGAGAGCAGTACTTAGGGAAGGAGGAAAGGCTTACTGTTCAGTGAGACTGAACAGCTGTGAGGAGAAGGATAAGGGCTTGACTTGGCCTCAACCCAGACCCACGGGATGGTGGGGAATGGTAGTTGATCTAGTTCTGACCCACCGTGGAGGGCTTGAAGTTTGGGAATTTTGGCAGCAGGGGAGGGTTGCTGTATTGCCACAACTCTTCCACTGCCAAATTTCCTGATCTGTGGGGAGCCCCATGGGTCAGATGCCATGGCTTTGTGAGCTGCACTTGGCCCATGGAGCTGGGGTTGAGTACGCCTGGTCTAGGTAACTTTTAATTTTTGTTAACTTTTTAAATTCATGTTTTTAATCTGCAATGTTGAAAATTTATTCTGTTACTCAACCCCCCCCCCACACACACACACACATCAGGTCTTACTTTATATTGCCAATTTATAATTAAATTGGTAACAGTATAACCGTGTTAATAAGGATGATCTTTTAAATGAACAAAACCTGACTAGTATAGGTACATTACACAATATAAACATGCTTATGTGGATTTAGCTTTTTTGCTGAAGTAAAATAAATTCACATAAGGACTTCCATATCAATATTACTGTATCTATGCTTAGATTGTTTTTGTCACTTTAAGACTGCTGGCATAAGGGAAAATAAACATCTATTTCTAATGGGGAGAGAGAGATTTATATCTGTAGAAGTTGGTGTGTTTTAATTATTCCTTATAATATTTACAGCTGTGGTCAACATTGTTGATGAAACAATTAAAGAAAGCAGAAGACTGATCATTGTTTTAGAACCAAAAACATCAAGCTACCATTTGTTAGAAGACTCTCCTGAAGAACAGCTAGTTTTGTACAATGCTCTTATCCGAGATGGAATTAAAGTAATTTTGATTGAGCTAGCTAAAACAATAGACTACACAAACATGCCAGAATCAATCAAATACATTAAGCAAAAGCATGGAGCTATCCAATGGGAAGGAGACATTACACAAAAATCATACTTAACAAATACAAGATTTTGGAAAAAGGTGCAATACCGAATGCCACCTACATATTCTGCTTCTTCAGAACTACCTTTGCAACCAGTCACCTCGAACACACCTTTCAGACAAGACAAAGATGAGGCATGTCATTTTAATGATTCTGGGTAGCACATTTTCTTTCGATGGACTGTGTCGGAATTTCTCATGCATTGTAAAAGTGCCATTTCACTGGAAACCTTTGAGGATTAAAGACTTAAGAATGTTTTTGTTTTCAGTGCTTAACGAAAAATAATCTCTCTGCTGTACAGGCCTTATTGGCAGCATATGCGACACTGAACAGTGAAAGATGGAGATGGTTCATTTGAGTGATATCATGGCAATTGAACTTAAACATAATTTAAACATAATTTTATTAGACATTTTAAAATGATTTGGAAGAGACCGGTAAAGAGTTAACCAGATGTGGGAAATGATTATTTAGTTCCTAGTTAATAAGTCATGCTCTGAGGCAAATGTCAAAATTTGTTGGAGCAAGCAAGACCTGTGGAAAGGAATATAAGTATAGGAAGGGTTCCAATTCCTAACATTACATTTGTTATTTCTTTGAAAGGAACAAATCCAAGCCTTAGAATTGTTGTCTTTTATACTTATCAATCTTCACAGGAGGTGTGGCATCAATCTTCACCACCATTATTAAATGTAACAGTCTTGAGGGTTTATCATGATACATATCTTAGCAAGTTCAGCCCTACAATGTGCTTTGAACTGGGTTTGATCAAAGGTCGTTTAGAGCAGGGGCAGGCAATTATTTCAGGTAGAGGGCTGCTTACTGAGTTTTGGCAAGCCATCGAGGGCCACTTGACAGGCAGCTGGGGGTAGATAAATATTTATCTTCTAAATTTTTTTAGGGGCCCTGTGGGCCGGATAAAATGGCCTGGCAAGTCGCATTCGCCCTGTGGGTTGCATTTTGCCCACCCCTGGTTTAGAGGATACACGTGCCTCCATGTTGCTCTTCAACAATAAAAGGAAGGAATTACTTTGGTAGCAAATGAGGTTAGATTAACTATAAGGAGGTTAAGAATCTCTTAACAACATGTTTTGGAAGTCATTCACTTTTCCAAACATGCACAGATTTCAGCCCAAATACTGATGTGGAACTAAAACCACAATAGTACAGGTTGTCCTTGTTCCTATTTTGAGACATGAAAGGAGTCCTTCCAATAGTGGCTACTCACAGGGAAAGTCTGGCCCATTTTAAGTTGATGGCAAAACCCCTATTGATTAAAGGGGGCAAGGATTTAACTCTTAGTTCCCCAGCCAGTTAAATGGGAATAATACTTAACCTAAGAGGAATGTTGGGAATTAAAGACGTTGAATGCTTTGGAAATGCAAAGTAGTCTGATCATTAATTGTAAACTCCTTTTCTTGTTTTGAAAATAAGTTGCTAAAGCCAGTCTGATTCAGTAATTTTTTTGTAGTTGAGGGTGAAAAATAGTCCTGGTATTTCTAAGCTCTTATCCTAGATTGCTGTCCTGTTTTAAAATAACGTCAGAGGCCAGCCACTACTTAGGTTTGTTAAATATTTCTTAATATCTTTTATTTTTGCCAATTTTAGACAAAGATAATGTATAGGGCTTTTTCCCCTGCAGGCAAGACAGGGTCTGAAAAGGAAAGTACATTTTCCATGGACAAGTTTGTACAGAACATACAATATTTACTTTTTTAATTTTTATTTTTAAAGATGAGCTTAGCAGAAGTCAGTTACTTTGGCAAATGATGTAAACAGCTACTTGAGGTTGCCAGTGCTATGCAGCTGTTGCATGGGAACCCACACCCTCCGACATGGCAGGGAAATGGTGGGTAACCTCAAACATATTATTGGCAACAGCTCACGCATGCAAAAGCCTACAAGCACAAACAAGCAAAGAACCCATACAGCAGTTCAGGATCTTCTTGTGGGGCAATAGGATAACTGAAGATGAAGGTACTATAAGGATACCAGAATAACTACCAAACACAGCAGAACCTTGCAAATATTGAAAACCTTTTGAAAGGTTATCTTTTCAAAAGAGAAACAGTAGCAATTCCCAGAAAATTAAACAAAAGAAGGTTAAGAAAAATGACTGCTGCTCTCTTTATGTGGGTCCAGGTTTACATTAGATTATCCTAGTGGTATTTTATTTTTGCTCTACTTGATATGATTAGAAACTCAGCCTTTGTTGGGGTAAAAAATAGCCACCAGTGCATCTGATAGCTGACCACAGTGCTGCTGCTGATAGCTCAGCAATATACATACACACATTGCCAAAGTATATACATGGAGGTAACTCATTCATAGTTATTTTAACATACTAATCATAGACAATTGTACTTCCTTATAGAGTACATTAACAGCCTTTATAAGAGATTCTGTTTCAAGCTTTCTGGTAGCTGCTTCTTATTTGCTTTCAGCCTTCTCCAGCAACCAGGGAGTGGGACCACAACATAGATGGTGGAGTTCTATTAGTTCTACCACGTGTCATAGTTTTGTAACTTTATTTCATGATTATCATGTTCTAGTGATATCCCCAAACCTCTTTATTTGCAGAGAGTTATGGCTGACTACTCTTCCACTAGTGGATGTATTATCACAATTTCTTCTCTTGCTTGCTGCTCCTGTTAATTGTTGCAATAGTGAGATGGATGTGTTGGTGAGATGGTACTATGTTACTCTCTGGTGACTGTCATTTAAAAATATAAAGTGGAGTGAAAAATCCGGTTGGAGAAGCATTTAGCTAGGCAAATGAGATTTAGGCTTTGGAACCAGCCTAAGAAGCTGATCAGCAGTTTGTGTCCTTTCACTGCATTTGAGTGAAGGATTCTTTCATGAAAATGAAGAGAATATCTGTCTATACAACTTTTACGGGTCCAAGAATCAGCACCGTACCTAGACTCCTGGTGGCCCCTGGTGAACTTTTAGTATTGGGCCCCCCTTTGCCACAGATAATGATGATCATAATTAAAAAAAAAAAAAACCATTTTCAGGCCCCCTTTCTGTCCAGGCCCCAGGCGGCCACCTGGCTAGCCCATGCCTGTGTGTGGCTCTGCCAAGAATTCAACAATTTAGGTTAGTATATAGACTCTTCTGTCCTCGTGAACACGAGCTGTGACCATATGCAGTATCAAACCTTCAGGCCCAGTTTCTGAGCCCGGACCGTTCCAGCTCGGACCCAGACCTCAGCTACAACTCTACAATTCCTGAAAGAAGAAGGTAGCCTGAGACTGTAGAAGGGCAGTTTTAAACTGCCTGGTCCACCTTCCTCTCCTTGTGGCTGGATGTGGCATAACAGTTTCTCTTCTGGCAACAGCCACTGCAGCTGTATGCGGTCTACCTGTTTTTGTGATTCAGCCCTCCAGACGGGTCATGGTCAGCAAGGAGTGAACAGGTAGTTATACAAACAATATTTCAGCAACCTCATATCAGGCCTTGGCTTCCAATGCTAGTAGAGCTCAGTGAGCCCTTGTCTCAGGGCTTCTGGTAGTCTTTACTCCTTGGATCAGAGAGCTTCTTGCCATCTTCTATTGTGGCTGGCAGAGGAATGCAAGCTGTCCTTCTAAGGTAAGTTGCACTCCAGGGACCCTGTAGCAAGCAGCTGAAGTCTGCTTCAATCAACTGTTATCCTACTACATCATCTCTTTGTCTGTGATATGTATAGCCTATCACCCGACTCTTTTCCAGGCCAGGTATTTCTCTCCTAGCTTCTACACTGGTGATGGATGATCTGCCTCTGTTGGAGGACTTGGACTATATTTCAGACAAGGACATCTTTGGAAGCCTAAACTGAGATTGCAGCTTCTGAATTCTGCCTTGGTTAACAACCTTTCTCTCCCTCCCAGCAGGGGCGGTGACAGCCCTGCAAGTTAGATTCCACCTACCTTTAACTTCACCATTCAGGTCTTTTCAAGCGGTCAAAATCCTCCATGAGAAGTTCAAAAGTTGATGTTTTCTATCTCCGATGTAAAAAGTAGATTAAAAAAAATAATAAAAGCCATATTTGGGTCCATTTTTATAATTATAAAAAATACAGTTAGGAAACACTAACCGAAAGTGTGCCTACTTACTTAATCTTGTATTTTTATTTCAAAACAAGCAAACAAACTAGGCCTTTTTAATACAAACCAAATGGGAAAAGAGTGGAATTTGGACATGGAGAAATGTGGTCTAGACAAAACTACTACAAGATGGATAGAGAACTGGCTCAATAGCTGTAAACAAAAGGTAATTATTAACAGGTCTATGTCAGAATCGCAGGACTGGAGTCCCACAAAGGCCTGTGCTAGGCCTGGTGCCATTCAACATGCTTATTAACGATTTGGATTCTAGCAAAGACAGGTTTTTAAGCAAGTTGGTGGATCACACAAAACTGGGAAGGATTGTGAACACGTTGGAGCATACAAGCATAATTCAGAAGGATCTTGACAGATTGGGAAGTTGGTTTAGAGCTAACAGGATAAAGTTCAGTGCAGAAAAATGCAAGGTGCTACACATAGGTGACATGTAGGGGGGCACATACTCCCCCTCTGAGATTGGCCCTTGCCAGCTGGGGAGTGCGGGGTGACAGCTGATGCTCCCCCTGAGATTGTGGGGGTGCTGACAGAAGCATCAGCGGCACTTCTGGACTTGCCGGCAGCACTTCCAGTTTTGGCAATTGACTGCTGGTGCACCCCACCCTCCAGTATCAGGAGGCACCAGTTCCCCATGGTGCTAAACTTTGGATGGAATAATCATAAACACAAATATATCATGGGTGATACCTGGCTGGATGGCAGCACTATAGCAAAGACTTGGGTGTCTTTGGTAGATCACACACTCAATATGAGCTTGCAGTGTGACGCAGCATCACAAAAGGCAAATATGCTTTTAGGCTGTGTCAATAGAAGCATTAGGTGCAACACGTGGGAGGTGATAGTGCCTCTGTACTCAGCACTGATTAGGCCTTGTCTAGAGCAGTGTGTGCAATTCTGGCCTCCACTTTTATAAAGGACATTGAGAATTTAGAGGGAGGGAGAATCCAGAGGTGGGCAACAAAGGTAATCAAAGGCTCAGAAGGCAAGTCATAGGAGGCTGAAGGAGTTAGGCACATTCAGCTTGTGGAAAAGGTGCTTAAAAGGGGACAGGATATCAGTCTTCAAACAGTTGAAGGGCTGCCATAAAGAAGAGGGAAAACTCCTTTTCTCTCTTGCTCCAGAGAGAAGGACGTGAACCACTGGCTTGAAGTTGCAGCAAAAGTAGATTTAGATTG